TAAAATGTTCTTTCTCAGACGACATTCAGAGATCTTATAAAATTATTTTCCAAGTATGGAGAAGTGAAGAGTTGCTTCTTAAGAAGATATCCAAGAAATAGAAATAACTATGCACTTCTTAGGTTTAATAGTTTAAGTGCAGCTATGAGGTAAATCTTAATTTAAATAAATGCAGAGATGTAACTATAGATAAGGAAACCATACTTTTGATGTTATACGACGATTTATAGTACCACAATCGCTAGACGAATAATATTGCACGGTAGAAATTTAAATATTCTGACAGCTAATTCTCGGCTACAACGAAAGAGAGTGAAGAATAAACGTCAAAAAAAAGGAAAAAAACATAAATCAAAATGTAACAAAGTGTCAAATGATGATATATGCAATGAGGGTTACAGAGAAAATGAAATTAGTATTCACAAATTAAATGACGACTGTCTGATGTACATTTTTAGCCATTTGCCAGTTATAGATAGGATCAGAATAGAAAAAGGTAAGTACATTCATTTTTTTATTACAGTATTAATATTTTTTTAATATATATAAAGTAGGTATTTACGTATATTTACGTAAGTGTACACAGAATCATTTCAACAATTGTAGTGTGCAAGAGATGGAAAGCATTAATTAAAAAATCCTGGTATAATGTGAAAAGACTGGATTTGCAGGATTCTATGTGGGGCTCTTTAGCTGACAGAAACAGAAGAGGAATTAGTTTCTATATGCTTCATAAAATATTATTCCGATGTGGTTCATATTTAAATGAAGTAGATTTGTCCTTTGTGCCGTATCGTTTACATTACAATACAGTAATGGTCATCGGAAAATTGTGCCGTAATTTAAAAATAATAAATATCACTGGAGTTTGCGTTTCGCGGTTTACTATCCGTTCGTTCGTCAACAACTGCCACAATATTATAAAATTAAGTGTTGGTGATTTCACTTATTTTTGCGATAATGATTTAAAAATATTATTCGAAATGAATCCAAAGTTACAACATTTTGAAGCCTATCGTACTCCTATAACCGGAAGGTGCTTATTGCATTTACCAACAGACAGAATAGAAGAAGTCGTTCTAGACTGTTGTCAATATCTTGAAGAATACTTTGTATTGGAGGTGAAGCTTTCAGTTTATTTTCACTACTTTTCAGAAAGATTGATCGAGTAATTAATATTTCAGGCAATTAAGAAACTACAAAGAATGAAGGCGTTTACGATAAATAGATGTAAATGTATATCCGGTAACTTGTTTCGATTCCTCGGCACACATTGTAAGAATTTGGAAACTTTAAAAATTTGTCAAATTCCATCTACATCATATTTCCAATCGACAGACACATTTCATATTGCGCTATTATCCAATCTCAAAGCTCTAACAGTCAGTGAGAACAAAATAATTACGGACGAATTTCTTTTTAGTCTGGTAACGACATGCCACAACCTCACATATTTAGACATTTCCAGTAAGTCAGATATCATACGGAAGTAATTCAGTATATAATAATTTGCCTAATTTCTCGTCTGTTGCAGGATGTTATGGTATTTCAAACTATGGTATGACCGCTATAACAACCGTTCCCTCGTTAGAAGTGTTAATAATGAACGATATGCCAAGAGTGACTAAAGTGCATCTATCTGAGGCATCCAATTTCAAAAGAATAGAATGTCGCAATTCGCAATTTATGGATAGTGTGATAATTAATCTTATTAAATTCGCGCCGCAATTGAGGGTGTTAGATTTATCAGAGTCCCCATCTATTACTACTAGAACATTAGAGGAAGCTGCCAGGATTACGGCCAGTCGAACCAACAGTATTATTTTAAAAATATTCGTAGGCGGTACCTCAGTGGATCTTAGGACTTTTAATAACGTATCACCGTTTTTACAAATAGTAACATTTCCACTTTTACTGTAATATTTGTAAATATTTATTGTGTAATTATACTATGTAAATATGTTAACAAAACACTTTAAAGTGTTGAAAAAATGAGAGTAACTTTGACTTAAACATGTTTATTTGCAATATCTTTAGAGACGTAAATCGATAGTACTTATGTAGATAGACAAACTTTGTGAATGATTTTGCAGAAAATTTACGAAACAGAAAAAAAAGGGATGATAGACAGTAGTGCGATCATATTATCTATAAACGAAGCACATTATTACTATTTTATACCATCATAACTAGTATTACCATGCAAATTTTGACAAACTACG